TTGGACCAAATCCAGTCCAATTGACACCCCACCCCTAGTTATATCTATAAAATCGGAGCATTTGACCGCATCACAAGCTTTATCTGGTCTGCAGGAGTTTGTTTTGGAGTCGGTTATTTTATTAAATCTGTCCAGGTGTAAGGGGCTGGGATCTGCTCGTAACTAGATGCTATCACCACCATCTCCTCCAACCGTTACCAAGCATTAACACTGAAAAACAAGAGAAACAAAGCCTTTTTCTTTTCTCTTGACTACAAGGAAAACCATAATTCACTTTCATCAATCATCTGTACTACGTGAAAGGACAATCTGAAAGTTGGACTAAGCTGTCTTGCACTAAATAGGTGGATGTGATGGTTAGAAACGTTGTGCATCCCGTTTGTGTTGCTTAGAGTATATAGGGTGGATTTAATTACCCCATTACTATCTCACAATAATTTCAATCCTTCAGATTATTAAATAAAGTGTATGTCCTGGAGATGCGCAAGTATCAAAATTATTTCAGATCTTGTCTCTGCCAAGATGAAGTTTATGAAGGAACAAAGCCAAATTCATTTCAGACTGAAGGGAACAATGTCAGGTAAGATTGATTTCAGTTTACACTTTGGAGCTTGTTTATGGGTTTTCTTTTTACCAACTTCCTTTAGCCTTTCCTGCCTTTGTATTGATTTTTTTTTTTTGAATATTTTGTGTTCTGGGAAATGTCACTTGTTGGATAACGTACATTCTTTTCGCCCTTCCAATTTTATGCATGTTTGATTTAGGCTTTTGGGTAGATCAGGAAACTTGGTTTGTGCTGCACTGAAAGGTCTATTAGTGTTGAACCTTGATTTTCATATGTTTGTCAGAAACCGGCTTTTGGAACCATCTGACTAGAATGCCTGTGGAACTCGAACAGAGTTTGATTGTTTCAGGAGATGGGACACAGATGGACCATTGGACCATTTTCCTGTGGAACTCGAACAGGATTGTTCCAGCACCATTGGACCATTTTCCTTCTTGTTTCACCTTTACAAGAAGTGTTACAAAGTGTCCTTTGCTTTACTAGGTCATTCTGTGATATTATGACGCGTTTGTCATTTAGACAAGAAGAGAAACTAGTTGATCTAGAAAATGCCTAGGGTGGGACACAGATGGTGCATGGACACAGATGGTGCATGGATCAAAGGGTGACTTGGATTCTTCTTAATTAGATATAGGATGAATGACTAGAAGAATGGAATTTGCTAAATTATTTTGTTCTTCAAGCCATTCCTTGGAATGGATTGAATGCCTTAAAGCTTCTAACTCATCATCATATCCAGACAGACTGATCAAAAATAGTATTTATTGATTCAAATGTGTCACCTCTGCATAAGCACCGCCATCCTAGGAGAAAACTAATTCTTCAATGAGGAAATCCCTCACACTATGAACTTAAAATGTGCTTCAGTTATAGGTTCAAGTAGAGGGGAGTGGTGGGCGGGCTTGGCACAATGGTTGGGTTGCTCCATTGTGACCTAGGCGGCTAGGCACCAGGGTTGAAATCTTGTAAACAGCCTCTACTTGGGCTGCCCATTTTTTAAAGGTTTAAATAATTCAATATTCTCATCCATTACGAGTAGGGACCAGTGGGATGCACAGGATTTATTAAGAAAAAGTGAAACAATGGAAACTGATAATTATTTTAATAATTTTACTAATCTTTATTATAGTAATTTGTTATAAAAAGTAATTTAGATTAATTATATTAATAATTTTTAACAAAAATAATAAATTACTACTAATTAATGAATAATTATTTTTTTCTATTATCCTTTATTAATTGTTAAATGTTATAGTTAAATTAATCTATAGATTAACTTTTTTAGTCATAATTAAATTAATCTAAGTTCAAGCTCAAGGTTTAAGATTGTGAAACAAATCCCCCCATCTTCGTCCCCATTCTCGAGGTTAGGTATCATTAGGGATGGCAATTATCCCTATTTCCCTGATCCCCGTTGGGATCTGGCACAAATTGGGGTGTGGATGGGGATGATTTTCCCACCACAGGGACGGGATGGGGAAATTTTCATCCCCGTTGGCAGGGATGGGGAGAGCACTTCCCGCCTCATAGGGACTCAATCCCCGTCCCATGGGATCCCCACTAATATATATGTATGCATATGTTTATATATGTATAATATGTACACATATATCTATATATTAATATTTTTAAAAATATGTCTAAATCTTTTCTAATAGGATTGTAAACTTTAATTATTTTATTTGTATTTTTAATAAAATAAAAAAATGATTGACATTATAAAAAATCACGAGGAATGGGGATCCCCACAGGGATGGGGATAACCTTGTACCCACTAACAGGGACGAGGACGGGGATGGAGAGAGACTCCTCGTCTCTGCCCCACCCCATTGCCATTCCTAGGTATCATTATCAATCCCCATTCCTACCAAGGCAATATCCATACTCAACCCCATCCAATTGGGGAAGCTGAGTACCCAATGGGATGGGGAACATTGCCATCCCTATTCACATCCAAATCATATTAATTGGTTAGTTGTCATAAAACTGTAATTCAAAACCTAATAAATAAAATTAAATTTTAGCATGTTTTTATCTAGCAACTATTAAAAATTAAGAAATTAATAAAAATTAGTACTTCATAAAATAGTAATAAAAAGTAAAAAAACATTAAAAATAATAAAAAGTAAAAAATTATTAAAAATAATAAAAATTATTAAACTATAAAATTTAATTAACATATTAAAACTAATAATGACCTAATTATAAATGTCTTAAGACTCCTAATTAGGGATGATTGTTTTAACATATCCTAAACCCGACTAAACCATCAAATTTTTAGTCTCAAGCAACTCTTTCTTTTGAGATAGGTCTAGCTCAGATCTACACCAACCCCACACAATGTAGACAGTAGGACTGTAAAACTTATTAATTAATTAAAAAAATTTATTAATATATTAATTAATTAAATATACATTAATACAAAGTTATCTAATAAAATAAAAAAGAATAAACAAAACAAAATACAACATTAGAACACGGGTTCTATTTGCAATATATCAAACCCATATTTAAATCATTATATTGTTAAAACTATCAAACCCATATTTCTTATTTTTAAGTGGAATTGAAATGTTTTTAATTTTTACAAAGTTTTGTTAATATTTATATTATTTGACTTATTAATATTTTATTTTATTATGTTGTATTACTACTCCCTCCCTCCCTTTCTCTCTCTCTCTTAAATGTCTTTTTTAAATTTAATAATAACATGCATTAAAAGAGGCCTTGAAAAACCAATTTTATATAATTATGGTTAAATTGAAGTGGAAATGGAAATGGATATATAAATATATATATATATATATATATATATATATTATGGTTTCAAAATGTTTGCAAGAGGTTTTAATTCACGGGATCCATGTGAGTAGAGA